TTGAAGAGGTGATCGGCCAATGGTGAGAAGAGAATCAGATCTGTCTATAGGCTATACTAACCCCTTGGTGTAATGGGTCCCCATCTGAGCTGAATAAAATCATCTGGCGTTCGTCAAAGAAAACATCCAAAAGTGACGTCCCCATAGTGAGAAGATGGTAATGGGGATAGTCTATTAAACGAGAGAGAGAGAGAGAGAGAGAGAGAGGGGGGGGGGGTTTGGCGAGGAGGAGGGGGGGTGTGGAGGCACGTCGATATAGTATATAGTGCATAAAACATGACGACAACCGAGTTCTTTGAAATGTCAGTGTATGAAAACACACACACACACACACACACACACACACACACACACACACACACACACACAGAACCCTCATAACATCATCTGTGAGGGAGTTACTACACTACATGTTTGCTGTTCAACACCTACATTAATCTGTATGTTCACTGTATGTTCCTTCACCTTTCTCTAATGAAGGCTTTTGTTAAACCACCAATGTATGTAATAAGTCATTTATGTCCAATGTATATTTTCAGCCTTCGGGCAGCAGAACTTTTTTAATAAACCGTTAATTATTATTATTATTATTATTATTATTATTATTAACATTTACGACTGTCAATATTTATTCTGAAGTCATGTCGTGATTCTTCCTTCTTGACTACGAGAGAAAGAGGGTTAGGTTAGGTTAGGTCAGGTCAGGTCAGGTTAGGTCAATACACACCTCGTTCCCCCTACCAGAGCATAAGTCACCATGGTAATATACGGTAAAATAATATCTCTCTATTTTTATCGTGAGCTAACAAATTGATTCACTCTATTTGATGTCTCACTAAACTACCTCACTATAATGACCTCGTTACAGCTTCAAGGGGTAGTTACTGTTCTGTCTTAATTACTACATACGTACATACCTTCATACAGTACCTCAATACAGTATCTTCTTTACTGTGTTATAAAATTAATTATTCACTTTATTTCGTTATTCATTCGTCTCAATTCAAGGACATTCCCAGGCGTTTTCCAGGACCGCTAACACATTTTTTTCAAGGACTTTCAGTAATGGTCAATGCACTCCCTTGGCCCCTGCAGTTCTGTGGTGTTCAGTATAAAAAGGATATCTCTACGACTACTAACATACACTTCTCAATGACTTTCAAGCAATGACAATTAAATGCTTTCTCTTCTGACTTTCTAAATGCGATAATTTCTATTGAATTTTTAAGCATTTTTTTTTCACTGATTAAAAACTGACTTATCAATCCTCAACCCTTTCACTTTAAGGTCTCTGGTCCCCCCACCCCACCACCACCTAAAAATAAAAAATCTCTTATTTCAATAGATAAGGTAAGGTTAGGTTAGGTTAGGTTAGGTTAGGTTAGGTTATAATCGTCAAATTTTCTTCTTACGAGTTAATCCTCCTCCAGACGATTGAGTTTATGATACACAGTGAATCAGTGATGTGATGCGAAGAGTTATGAATCAATATACAGTTCATGAAGCACTGTGTTATGAATCATAGTGGAGTCATGAATCACTTTGCATGTGTTATGAATCAATATACAGTTCATGATTCACTTTGCATGCCGTGTGTGTGTGAGTCTAGGGTGATGAACAAGTACGTGTGGATAGTTCTATATATTCTTGTGGGTTTGTAAATATATATATTTATCTGTTATTCTCTTTATAATTTATCTTGTCTACCATTCTCAACCCTCTCTTTCCCTTCTTGGTCACACACACACACACACACACACACACACACACACACACACACACACACACACACACACACCATCTCCTCTACCAACTGTATTTATTTATTTATTTTTTTTTTTATCGCCAATATTTTCTTAAATTTCTCAGTAGCGTGGGAGTCATAAGTCATATATTGTACGTACCTATGATGATGATGATGATGATGGTGATAATAATAATGATAATCTTGATAATGATGATAAAAATGTATCTCACTTAACCTGTACTATACTATACTTCACCTGTTTCTCACTCTCCCTACACCTAACCTAACCTAATACTTGTCACTCGACCCAAGACACAACAGTGATCCTTGAAGGAATATGGTCATCCTCGTATTAAGGAATTGTCCATGATGATGATTGATGATGATGATAAGAATACTGATGATGATGATGATAATAATGATGATGATGATGATGATGATGATGATGATGATGATGATGATTATGATGATGATGATGATGATGATGATTATGATGATGAAGCTGATGTTATTGTTGTTTTTCTCAAACCACTGTAAACTCAATACCTGTACTGCCTCTACTATCCATCTATTTCAAAAACGTATTTCTCCGAGCTATATAATCTCAGTTAGGAAAGTTATAGTACATTATAGATCATTATAGTACATTATAGTACATTATAAACTAATATATCATAATTATAAGATATACACAAACCTCAATAATATAATTTCAAGTAATCGTCTCAATTATGAAGCTATATTACTAACTGTTATATAATTTAGCGTAATATAATCTCCGTAATGCATATTTTTTTTTTTACATATCATCAGTTATATCACGGTGTCCATAGCCGTAAATCACAAAAGTAAACAACAGCCGTAAACAACAGCAGTAAACCACAGCAATAAATCACTGCAGTAAATCACAGCCGTAAATCACAGCAGCAAACCACAACAGTAAACTAAATCGGTAAACCACAGCCGAAAACCAAAGTAAATCACAGCAGTAAATCACAGCAATAAATCACAACAGTAATAAAATATACTCCAATAAAAAATAACCATAACGGACCCCCAAAATAAAAATGTGAAGAAAAAAAATATCCAGGTGTAGGTGACAGGAGACTCGTGTACGCCAGGTGTGAAGGTAAATAATTAAGGAGGAGGCTGACAGGTGTGTGTCACGGGGGTCAACACGTCTCTCTCAGGTACAACAACACCTGGTCTTATATCACTCTTTCTGCTGCAGCTGAGTTGTAGACAAGAGTTGTCATTTAGATTGTAAGTTGTTAGTCATTATTGATAGTAGCAGTAGTAGTAGTAGTAGTAGTAGTAGTAGTAATAGTGTGGCTATTGGGGGAGGCTGGAGGTCACGTTAAAAAAAGTAATAGTAGTAGTAGTAGTAGTAGTAGTAGTAGTAGTAGTAGTAGTAATAATAATAATAATAATAAAAATAATGATAATAAGTGAAAATAATAATAGTAGTAGCGATAATAATAATAATAATAATAATAAACAATAATAATAAACAATAATAATAATAATAAATTTTCATCAACAAACACAATCCAATAAAGGTTAGGTGAGGTTAGGGTAGGTTAAGTTAGTTTAGGTTAGGTTAGGGTAGGTTAGGTTAGGTTAGGGTAGGTTAGGTTAGGTTAAGTTAGTTTAGGTTAGCGTTAGAGTGGTTAATCTTCAGGTGAAATTAGCTGGGGTGGAGAATTTTCATGTAATCCGAAAACTTAAACCATCGTCCTTCGTTAAAATGGTTTAATATGTCTAACCCATTGAGGACAATGGTTTAAGGTGTGTGACCCATTGAGGACGATGATTTAAGGTGTGTAACCCTTTGGGGACGATGGTTTAAGGTATGTAACCCTTTGAGGACAATGGTTTAAGGTGTGTGACCCTTTGAGGATGATGGTTTAAGGTGCGTAACCCTTTGGGGACGATGGTTTAAGGTGTGTAACCCTTTGAGGACAATGGTTTAAGGTGTGTGACCCTTTGAGGATGATGGTTTAAGGTGTGTAACCCTTTGGGGACGATGGTTTAAGGTATGTAACCCTTTGAGGACAATGGTTTAAGGTGTGTGACCCTTTGAGGATGATGGTTTAAGCTGTGTAACCCTTTGGGGACGATGGTTTAAGGTGTGTAACCCTTTGAGGACGATGGTTTAAGGTGTGTAACCCTTTGGGGACGATGGTTTAAGGTATGTAACCCTTTGAGGATGATGGTTTAAGGTGTGTAACCCTTTGAGGACAATGGTTTAAGGTGTGTGACCCTTTGAGGATGATGGTTTAAGGTGTGTAACCCTTTGAGGACAATGGTTTAAGGTGTGTAACCCTTTGAGGACGATAGTTTAAGGTGTGTAACCCTTTGGGGACGATGGTTTAAGGTATGTAACCCTTTGAGGACAATGGTTTAAGGTGTGTGACCCTTTGAGGATGATGGTTTAAGGTGTGTAACCCTTTGAGGATGATTGTCCTCAAAGTCTTCATCGTCCTCAGAGCCTTCCATCGTCCTCAGAGCCTTCCATCGTCCTCTAAAGGTTAACTAAGTCTTATTCTATTCAGCCAGATTAATTACACAATGATTCTGTTCGCTCCCAGCGTCGTGTGTATGTCATAGTGGGGGCGGGGGGAGCCATGGTTGTGCATTAGCGGTGTTCATTATGTATCATATTAAGAGAGAGAGAGAGAGAGAGAGAGAGAGAGAGAGAGAGAGAGAGAGAGAGAGAGAGAGAGAGAATACAATTATCAAAAGCCAACTAATTATTTAATCCATCACATGTATACTTCAGTACCAAGGTCTTTTATCTCCCCTGAACACACACACACACACACAAACACAGTACTTCACCTTTATATCGATCTGACAAAAATAATACTTTGCTTAACAGGAAACTTTAACAAAAATACACAAACTCAAATTACTTTGAACTTAAAAAAAATAATACTTTGCATATTTAGTCAACGAAATATACTGTACAAAGTAATTCCATTTATCTTGCTCTGAAAAAATAATAATACTTTGCATAAATGGAATTATTACAAATATATATACAGTATATGTATACCTTCGAGTACTTTATAGCAAGTTTCCATACAATCAAGTCCTGGGTCCTGATGAGAGAGAGAGAGAGAGAGAGAGAGAGAGAGAGAGAGAGAGAGAGAGAGAGAGAGAGAGAGATATTTTCAACCGAAAGTTCCACTTTAACAACATCAGACACAACATAAATACAACCAACAAATACTAGTTCATGTGTACTTACGGTATATATTCTTGTGTGTTGTATAATACTGAAGGAATACCGGACTGAGCTGAATCAGTGTCACTTGTTCATAATTAATACCGTCACAACCTCGGTATTTATGGCACCTTCATTATGTTGTAGCAGTGACTGTAGCTGAAGTTTTCTGAGTGGCATTGTAGTTTGTTGTTCTGAGTGGCAACGAAGTTTGTTGTTTCTCTGACTAGCACTGTTGTTCTATGAGTGGCATTGGAGTTTGTAGTTCTGAGTGGCACTGTGATTTATAGTTCTCTGAGTGGCACTGTAGTTTGTTGGTTCTCTGACTGGCACTGATGCGTTAACCAGTAAAAGCATAAAGGCATAAGCCACTATTACAATCCATACTGAACCAATCAAAATAAACTGGTGCTAATATTAACTGTATTTTCTCAATGTAAAACAACAAAACAAAAGGCAGTTCAAAGGCAGTTCATCTATCATTCTAACAAAAGCAACAGCCATATTGTTTACCTCCTCCACGAAAAAATATAAAGCATATAACTCCTTCCCCAACTTTATTTATTTGTTTGTCCTTCCACCCCACCCCCTTAAAAAGCAGAAATTCCATATGTCACTTTAAATTGAGTTGGAGGAGGGAAGGAGGTAGGAGCAGGCAGGAAGGAGGGAGAGGAGGGAGGGAGGGAGGGAGGGAACAGACAGGCAGGGAGGGAGGGAGGGAGGGAAGGAGAGAGGCAGTCGGGAAGATTTTTCTGGGGCACCAAATCACAGTGGCTCATGGTGCAGGGTTGGAGGGGAGGCAGGGAGCAGGCAGGCAGGTAGGGACATTTTTCTAGGACACTTTATCAACTTAATTAACCTGAAATCAGTTTAAATTTCACCAAAAGTCATTAAATGTGATAGACTAAAGCAGCTTATCATATTTTATCTGTTAGTGAGTTATTTGAGTGGTATATATATATATGCAAATAAATCACTGTAGGTGCGCGTGATCTTTTTCCTTGTGGCTATCAGCATATATATATATATATATATATATATATATATATATATATATATATATATATATATATATATATATATATATATATATATATATATATATGTGTGTGTGTGTGTGTGTGTGTGTGTGTGTGTGTGTGTGTGTGTGTGTGCCAGTATCTCTAAGCATATGTCAGGTGTTGGCTGATGTTGCTTACTCAGGGTAAAACTATATCCCCTCCGCTGCTGATCTGAAGTCACTGTACCTGGTGACTTCTACAGGTAAGGGGGAGGTGAAGGTCACTGTCTTATATTTTTAAGGGTCACTCAGGTAATCGTAAACACAACACTGATTGGCTACATTTGGTCAATCAATCCCCCCCCCCTCCCCACCACCTTTCTTGACCTCACTGGTAATGTTTCTTTCTTTTTCGTCTACGAGGGATGTGTGTTTGGTGGAAGGGCTGACGTATAAAGGTGTAATATTTCGTCTTTGGGTTTTATGACCTATTTTAAACACCTGTGTGGTTACCTGATGCTATGGTATGGTATGGCATGGTATGGGTATGGTATGGGTATGCTATGGTATGGTATGGGCATGCTATGGTAAGGTATGGTATGGGTATGGTATGGTATGGGTATGCTATGGTATAGTATGGTATGGTATCCTTATTGCCAATCCATCAACCCGACTGAAAATGTTATCCACCAATGAGCGAATCTACTTAACAAAACCATTGACTAAATAACTTGGTCACTTCCTTTAATGGTTCACGTATACACAAGAAGTCTTTCGTGACCCAACTGATAGTGTTCTACGATGGTGAGGGATGATGCTTAATGATAATTTTAGAACCACACCTGATTCACCGCCGAGTTATCAATACGTGTTGTCGGTAATGTTATGGTGGCCGGGTCATCAGCTGGCATTAACAGTTGTGGTTATTTGAGGTCATGTTAATCTTATTTTTTTTTGGGGGGGGGGGGGCGTGAGGAAGGTGAGAGGTGAGGACGGTGAAGGAGGTGAGAGAAGTGAGGGAAGGGGACGGAGTTGAGGGAAGTGAGGAAGGTGAGGGGAAGGTTACAAGTTGACCCCCAGGCAGCTACAGTATAACAGTGTGTGTGTGTGTGTGTGTGTGTGTTTGTTTGTTTATGTGTATGTTTCTATGTGTGTATGTGCGTGTTTCTGTGTGTGTGTGTATTTTTTCTGTTTATAGGTGTGTAGGTGTGCAGTGTATATGCTTGTTTCTGCGTATAGCGCGCGCGTGTGTGTATGTATGTTTGTGTATACCGCGTGTGTGTGTATGCGTATACGTATAAATGTATAGCCTACATACAATCCTCTTCATCACAACAATACTAACAATATACTGTAGTGAACATAGTTGGCCACACGTTCATTAACGTTATACACCTGTTCATTGTACACCTGGTCAAAGCCGGCACTCTGCTACATCAATGATCCACTAAGAGACCATATGTGCACTGTGGAAAACTTTGTAAATAATTCATATAATTCGTGTATTGAGGGAGCTTTTATATTAATTCATGCACTGAGGGAAAACTTTGTAAATAATTAATGCGCAGAGGAGAATTTTGTAAATAATTCGTGTACAGAGGGGAAACTTTGTAAATAATTATTGTACTGATGGGAAACCTTGTAAATAATTCGTGCACTGAGGGGAAACATTAAAATAATTCAAGTATCTAACACGCTAGTCACCCTAACATAAAAACCCGTTTTCTCTAAGCTACTGTTTTATACCAAATCCAGCAGCTAATCATTCCATTTCTTCCCTCTAGTTTTGTCATCGTCTGTCCCAACAAAAAAATTTTCTGCTGATGGCGAGTCACAAATATATTAAATATAGACATATATAAGTTTATAATACAGTAGAGTCACGTATATGTTGTTTTATTTATAGCAGTCAATGCGAAAAACTTAATATAGTACATGCAGAATATCAGCGTCTACCATTTTCTGTTATTATATTCCATATTCCAACGTAAGGGGATACTACTACAAAAAAAATCAATGGCTGACTGTCGCATTTCGTGTGTGTATGTGTAATGTTTTTGTTTGCTTGTGTTCGTGTGTTTGTTTGTGATCTTGTTTGTAGTTATGTATGCTAGTTATTGTCTGTGTTAATATTTTTGTTTGTGTTCGTGTTTCTTTGTGTGTATGTATGTTGGTTTGTTTACATGTGTGCAAAACTCATTTACTGTTTATCAATTATATTAAATCACATGAAGAATCGCCACCCCAGCTTATTTCACCTTAAGATTAACCACCCTAACGCTAACCTATCTATGTAGACTGTATACCTGTATTAATTATATACTATACATGCGGAATCAATGTAAACTTGCATGACGATTTCACTAATTAAATATCTATCTATCTATCTATCTATCTATCTATATATCTATCTATCTATATATATATCTGTCTGTCTGTCTGTCTGTCAATCTACCCCTCTAACTACCTACCTATGTATGTATGAATGTATGTATGTATGTACGTATGTACAGTATGTATGTATGTATGTATGTATGTAACAAGACACAATAACACAACCATCACAGACATAAAAACCCTGAATATAGAAAAAAACACTATTGAGTTTCCTAAAACCAAACAAAAAACAAAAAACATCCCATATTTTAATTAACCAAGTCACAAGGAAGAACAGAACAGATTAGACCAAAACAGACCAGAATAGAACAGAACAGAACAGACCAGAATAGAACAGAACAGATAACAGAAAAGAACAGACCAAAACAGAACAGAATAGAACATAAGAGAACAGATAACAGAACAGATTAGAACACAATAGAACAGAACAGAAAAGAACAGACCAAAACAGAACAAATAACAGAACAGTACGTTAAATCACATCTCCCATGGAACCGCTTTGAGGCGGAGGTGAAAGCCAGATTAATTAACCTTTACACCAACCCTGACCAAGAGTTAATCAGGAAGAGCTGGCGGGAGGAGGGGAGGTCGGGAGGAGGAAAGGGGAGGAGATTAAGAAGTCATTTCCGGGTTATTTAAAATTTGGAGGCTACTACTCTCACATGGTAGGTAATATGTGTGTGTGTGTGTGTGTGTGTGTGTGTGTGTGTGTGTGTGTGTGTGTGTGTGTGTGTGGCGTCTCGCAGGGGAGTGAGTGTGTTTGGGGACCTACACTCCACCAGCAGATACTACTCCTCAATACACTCGCCCTGCCGCTAATGGTGACCAGTGACGTCAGAGGAGGGGATGAAGAGGTTTTTTACAAATTCAGCTAAATGACGAGGATAAAGATGAACTAAATCAAGTGCCGCGAAACGAGATGAATTAAAGATAAAAAATAAGATGAAATTAAGTGAAATAAATAAAAACTAAACAAGAAATACAAAATTTCGCAAGTATTTTAAATGAGATAATCACATACAGGTAAATAAAATAAAATAACCAAAATACTACGACCCCTAAACCAGATGCCAGTAGACGTATGCCCATCGAGGACTTTTATGCGAAATTGTACAGCTCTTTTAACGATGCCGTGTATGCAATTGCAGGCATAGTTCCCCAGGCACTTGACTTGGTATCTTCTTGTGGGTTATATATGTGAAAGGTTTATAGCTTGTAAACATTACTTGTCATTATAAACTAAAGAATATATAAAGCATAAATAAATAATGAATGGTGTTTCTTCTTACTAGTGTATTATATATTGTATAGTCTGTCAATATACTGCTATAATGAACGCTGGTTGTCATTATATATTATTGTCAGTATAGCTGGAAAACGCCTTCATTATATATCCGTTTGTATATTAGTGATAAATGTTGGTTCTTGTGTCAGATGTATTGGTGATGGACGCTGCTCTTTCTCTAGTTATGTCACAACACCTAATGTTCTCTGTGCGTGGCGTAACACTATCATTCCCCCACCCAAACATTACGAGAGTTAACGATCGGTATTAAATCTGATATTGAAAATATTCATATAAAATGACGAATACATTTTACACAGTATTACAGCTTAATTTATTTATTTTTATCATACTTTCTCTCGTATCTTGTTCCAATATATTGGTGAGATAACCCTTCCGCCACTCTCTGATTCTTCCTCCCTTCCCTTCCCTCCCTCTCCCTCCACCTTACCATGTTTCCTTCCTTCCTCTCCCACTCTGCCACACACCTCCCTTCCTTCCTTCCTTCCCTCTCCTCCACCGTACCACACCTCCCTCCTTCCCCT